CAACAAGGTCAAGGGTCTAGTAGCTGTTTTAACATTACTACTACTGTAGTCGCACAGCAAGTAGGAGGTTTTCCAAGCAAGACAGGAAGCATTCTGCTTAAGCAGCAAGTCACTTTACAAGGTTTCTCATAATGTTTAGAGAAGATCCTCTGTACCCTGTACCAAAATGGTTCCAATGGTTCATGTAGTGAAAAAGCTGATAAAGCTTTAGGCGCTTCTCAAACCCTGCAGCTTTGGGAATTTTACTGTGATAAGCAGAGTAAAAAGAACTGCTGAAGCCACCAAACATCCCAGCTATTGCAAGCTCATACTCTGAATGGCCGTAGAAAGAAGCCGGATCGAAGATAATTGGACCAGAATCATCCTCAGCTACATTTCCTCCCCAGAGATCTCCATGCAGCAGAGCAGGAACAATTTCTATGTCACAGAACAAACTGGGTATCTTCAGCTGCAGGGGGAAAAACAAAGACATCGAAGTACTACACTTTAAGGGGAACAACTCTAGTTTTACCCGCATACATGCAGAGCATGAACTGAAACCTCTTAAAAGCCAGTTTAAAAAAACGTAACTTGAAACAGCACAGGCTCTAGTCAACAGAGATGCTGAGCAAATCCAGAGGATTTCTATTTTTCATAAACGCCAGCAGCTGAAGAACAGTCATCCAAATGTTTTTTAGCAAGAAAATAAAGAATTTAACACTGTATTTGGTGCTGCAATATTGACCGGCTTTAGTAAGCCACCACCAACCACCTCCTCATTAGAAGGCTCAGGGATGTCCCACCAACCTTAAAGGGATTTCTATAAAGTGGTACCCAAATAGCAAGGACTGGAGTCACCGAATCAGCTGCAAACCCTGAACAAACAGATGATGTGCAGAACAGCACCGCTTATACACATGTCTCGTCATGAACATGTTACAGGGAATGAGGAACGTGACCTCAATCTGGCATTCCCACACAGTAAGGCCAAATGCTATTTGCACGCATCCACTTTGGAATATTTTAGCACAGGGTGATGTGGCAAAAGCCACTATACCTTACAGTGAGGGGCATTCTAACCCCTAGAAGCTGGAGTCTCTTACCAACAGAACCTGGAGCATGCCACCAAACAGGCACTTTGTTTCATGAAAAGAAAATCTAACCAACGGATAGCTAGTTATCACTATAACGAGAACCGAGAGAATTTCTCCTACCTGAAGTTGTGCCCAAAGTTCTCTGGCTTCCCTGTCTCCCGAATTCTTTTCGATCATGTCCATCTGGGGCTGGATTCTTTGCTTGGCAAAGAAAGTCACCCAGTCATTCTGCCAGTCATTCACCTGGAGGAACAGGACTGCAGATGTTAGTTCTTCACAACACAACAGACTGATTTTCTTCTTTTTCAAATAAAGCTCTTGAAGATTATACAGCCTTTGTGCTAATACCATATCCAGGACAGTAAATGCTACCATTTAATAGAAAGTTACCTTAAAACATTAAATTGGGGGAATAAATAATTTTCTGGAAGTGATAAAAACCAAGAAATTGAAGAGCTATGAATGTCCAATGAAGCTGTAAGTGCTGCCCAAAGCACTACTTTCCCTATCAGGCTGAACAATGGGGTTTTTTTTAATGACTCTACACAAATAAATGTATTTCCGTTATGTAATTTTGGCCCTTTGTGTCACTGAAGGGAAAATAATATAAAATTCTATCAGTCTGATGAAGTACAACCTACCTGTGGAAGATAGCCACAGCAGGTAACTGTATGAAAGCCAAATTGATCCACAAACTGGACTTCCATTTGCCCTTGACCTTTACCTTTCAAACCAAAGACAAAAATCCAATGCTAATGACAAGATTCTAAGTATGTACAATGCAAATGGACCTTAAAAACTAAGCAAGAGTACAATCTTCCTTCTACTGAGAACAGAATAATTGCATCTCAATACTCTTTTTGTTACAATGGTTGTTGCTGCTGGGTTTTAAGTTTAAAGCTTGAAGTAAAGCAGCTACATGATAATCTTCATAAACATATTTTGAGGTAGCCTCTGATATCATGTCCTTGCAGAAACTGTGGTTCGAGATCCCAAGGTCCCAAACTGAATGAATGTTTTGCTTACAGAGATCCAAATAGAGCAAACAAAAGCCAAAAGACGACGACCTGCCTGGGGGGTTCGTCCAAATCTATTTTCATAATATCTTTAAGTGGAAGAAGACAAACTTATCCTGAAATAACGAAAGCTATTTTAACTATTTTGTAGATTATTATTATTAACTAGGATAAATTTTCAAGCAGCTGTGTACCGTACCAACTGTGCTCCCTTCTTTCTTCAGCTTCTCTCCAAGTTGCTGGTTATGAAGGTGGAGATCAGCCAGTTGTGTTCCAAGCTTCGCTGAATGTCTAAGAAACAAAAGCACTCTTAGCAACACCGACACATGAATGAATTCAGTTCTTGGTATTCCAGAAGTTACTTGAAAAGATTCATCGAGAAAGGAAAAGAAGCTCTGCATCTCTAGCAAAGTACATTTTCAAAATATTCTGGTTATAAACACCTCTATCCCCTGAAATTTGTATGCCAAAGGTTGCATTTGCACACTCTTCACCTCAATCAGCCCAAACACAACAGGATTCCTGCTCCTTCTCTTGGAGCTCACTGGGGGCTCTTCACAATTTAGAAATTCTGCAGATGAGCAGGACGAGGGACAAGACTAAACTGGCTGCAGAATTTCTGAGATTGGGATGAGAAATTAGTCATGTCCACCTCCCTGATGGAACCAGACAGAAGTGTTCATCATATTTTAATTTACTTAAGTGTTTGCCGCAGAGGAGGGCCAAAAGTTTGAAACTATCAGAATCAAGGTGAGGGTTGTAAAAATACTGGAACAAGGATGCACTCATTTGGGGAAGTGCCTCTGCATAATCATGACAAGCAATATTAAACATTCGTTCTTATGCCAAAGGCAAGTGCGCAAAACAGGCGACCAGGCAGGTAATTTTCCTGACTGTAAAAGGGAACCTTACCATAAAAATTACTAATTATTTACAAAAAAAAACCAAACCCAAAACTAAACAAAACCCACACTCACTTCTTGATGTATGACCAATTTGCTAGGTGAAGCGTTATGAAGTATTCTATACAGTTCTCTGCTGTGTAACTTCCCAAACGTATCTTGACTTTTTTTAAAAAAAAATTAAAACGTTTCCCCTCTGAAAACAAGTGACTTAATTGTCACAATAGTAAAAATTTCTGGATGCAAAGGATGCAAAGATAATACTGTGGTTTACCTGTTTAAGCCTCTCATTTCCAAATGTTCCATCGCAAACAGAGTAGTGCCCCCAGGCAGGTCTATAACTTTGATCGGTTTAGGCACTTTTATCGTCTGTGTTTTCAAGATGGCTTCTAAACTTGCCATTTCTCCCTCAAACATCCTTCTGGCCTGCCAAATATTAAAGAAAAGCATTACTCCCTACGAACACTAGTCACAGGTAAACAAAGCTCATTCACAAAACCAATCAAGGCTGTAAATGTTAAATAAAAAGCTTGGAGCAAGCGGTTACTGCACGTACAGGATACAGGCAGATCGGCACCACCAGACTTGAGAGTAGTTTTACAGTTACAGAAATTTCACCTCATAAACCGTCTCCACGAAAGTGACTTAGGTTCTAGCATTCTCTGTAATCATAAAAATAACTTAGAAAGCCTGTTCACAGCTGATGGAGCGCACACTGCACCTATATAAAATGTAAGCAGTATTTTATTAACGGGTTCTGCAGCACATGTCTAGAAAGCTATGGGTAATACACATCATCGGTTGACAGATGAGAAGAACGTGCTGACATTCATAGTCTTCATGACTTTTGTGACACAGACTGCTTAATAATACAGCCAATCTTCAAAACAGTCTAATTTGCAGTCACAGAGTGATCTTCCCTGGCCTGTTACTTCTGCCTCATGGGGGGGGTGGCGGGAGGAAAATCAATGATAGCAGCCAAGTGCCCCTTACCACACTTGCACACAGAAGCCCTTGGAAACCCAAGCCACTATTGACTGCATTTGCTTTGAAGACATGCTGAATTTAGGACCTATTTCTGCAACTCATATCCACACCAAGTAAAATCTGTTCTTTTGAGCTGCTTCACTGACATCAGTGACACAAAGAAAGGCTACTCCAGAAAAGTCGGGCAGAGGTTGCAGAAAAAGGGTACATGGGAAATCTATGGTGTATGTTAAAAGGAAAAGCAAGAAATATAATGAATAAAATAGAAATACAATACTACCCCTTTAGTACTGATACATGCAACACAGTCAAAGGACAATTTGCAACAGACTGACTAAAAATTGTAACGTCTACAGGAGATCAAGAATGAAGAACTGCTGAAATACTGAGCCATGAGTTAGCTCTGTTCATAGGAAATCAGCAAATACTGTATCCCTGTCTAAAGCACCATACAAGGTTGAAGTCAGCTGTTAACTTTAATAGAGTAAAAACCAGTGTTTTCTAAAGAACCTTGTTTTTCTAAAGAAACTGCTGATATACAACCCACTGCTGCACACACAGCAAAGCACTGTAATACAGTTTGGCAAAGTTTGCTTTAATGAGCACTCAGAATCCACACACAGGCAAAAGCATAGAAAATTAAATGATTACTGAATAGAAATATAACCAGACCTTTTTTTCCAAGCCCTATCTTGCAGCTAGCTGGACTGTATACCTAAATAGACAATCAACAAAGGCCTAAGTGGAAAGGCTATATTGCTACCAATTCAAACTATTTTCAGTCTAATATAAAGCAGGACAACCCTTCCATATTCTCCCATGTTACTATCTCAGTGCATCCATCCAGCTCCCTGAATACCATCAGAAAGTGCACAATCTTGTACTAACAAGGAAACAAATACCATCAGAAAGTGCAGACAAATTTGGAATAGATATAGTTGCACACATGCTTTCAAAAACATTTGTTTCCTATTAGGGGCAAATACAAATTCTGACTTCTGTTCTTCCAGTGAAACTATTCATTTGACAGACAAAGTGTAGAGTACTTTAAAGTAAACTCCACCTGATCTCTGCTTTTGCAAATAAGGATGCCATACAGGTATGCTGCATTATACTTATATTTATCAAATGCAGATATCTACCTTCTACCGTAGCTGGTACCAGCTACTGAAAGAAGAAAGCAGAAAATCTTGAACAACAATTATGGAAAATATCATTTATTGAGAAAAGTTTCTTCTTATGTGCAGGGAATGACTGGGTTTGTTACAACAAAGAACGATGCATACCCTGGGTAGATAATTTTATACCTTCTAGGCTTCTCCAGACACTTTCACGGCATATGCCACCACAGCGATAGCACTGCTACCTCAGCCATAACTGACAACAGCACACCACTGTACTGCATGCCCTAGACAAATAATATTGATACCAACAGCATCCCACCCGAAACGCTGCTTCCCATGCCAGAGCCTACTCCCACTGCGGCCTCCCTATACCCGGGCACCTCCGCCACAAACCAAGCCCCAGACCCCTAGCAGCCGCCAGCCAGACCCCTACAGGGCAGAAGTTGTCAAAGGCGGCAGACCACCTCGCCCAGCAGCCGAAACTCCAGGAGAGGCCGGGGCCGGCTGAGGCCAGCCCGCCGCCCAGCTCTCGGCACGGCCGCCCTCGCCGCCACCTCCCCGCCCTCGCCCTCTACCCCCCACACCTCCGCCTTGGAGTTGCTCTTCACGTACACCCGGCCGCGGTCAGTGTCGTAGCTCTGGCCCTGGCTGATGCAGCCGCCCCCCGAGTGCCCCGTCGGCCGGAGCACCGCGGTGCCCAGCTCCCGCCTCAGCGCGTCCTCCATGCTGCCTGCCA